CTTTTCTGCAATAAAAAATTAACCCATTAAATCACATTAATAGCCAGAACATAATGACATCTCATTTTATATAGACTGACTATGAATTATAAATCTTTAGTTCATAAAAATGATTATTAGAGAGATAAGAAAATCCATCTTAAATTGATGTGATTTTAGATATACTAATTACACGTGTAAAATAATTATTAGTTTCATATGTTTAAGATGGACAAAAATTCTATCACTATTATGCATTTTATTCACTGTCAGTTTATAAGGATTCCTTCCCGAGAAAAACATAAAAGCAATCAAGTTCATATTTACTTCAATCTCATTTTCATTTATTTCTCTTTATGAAGGAAAGAAAATGCATGATTTCTTGTTGTTAAATACATGAGGGCAACTTTACTACACATTGGATGTATATGAGTGACACAGTAGTTCCATTACATTCTACTGTTAGGAGACGAATATCAATCTAACTGCAACTATCTACAAACTGAATGATGTAGGAATTAACATCCAACCAAGCTATAGTTCCATTACTGTACCAAGAGATCAACAACTATGGCCTTTACAAATAGGACCATCATACTGAAGTTAATAAGAAGTGTCATTACATCCTATTAGAACAAAACAAACTCATACAGATATCATCAGGAACTTACCCCAAACCACTGAGGGAAATATGTCTAGAACAGAAAAAAAAATTGTCAGGATATGACCGAATTGGGTAAGAGTGCAAACTCTTTACTCAGTACAGTGGTTGCTAAGGACACAGAGGCTACAATTGCTATGTCAATTTAAGCTGCAAAGTTCAAGCTTTTATGTCATTCACATTCACATATCTTCTAATTGCTTAGAAAGAGGCATATCCTATAAGGTGTTCCAAGTTGTTTCTGCTCGTTACCAGACTGGTTACACTCTCGCTGCAGAATGTCAGGTTTTTATCGTATTGAAGGTCATTTCGAGTCTAATGCAGATTTTATTCTTTTAAAGGTCAAGAAGCTGTAAGATGATTACTAATTTCATATTTATACTTAAAAGAAAAAGAGACAAAAAGAAAGAAAGAAGAAGAAAAAAAAAGGAAAAAAAAAATAAAAAGATACTGCCTATCTTATACAATTAAATAGTACCAAAAAAAATCCTTAAAAAAGGAGGAGTTTCAAATTATTATTCATATAATTCCTGTTCCCTTACCCCAAAGCTGATGGGCATGGCATGTATGTACAAGCCATGCCCCTTGTGAGTTTACTTTATTGTTTTTACACATTGATGGCTACACTTGTACTAAGTTACCAATGAACCAATTATGAGTACTGCCTGTCTCGTTGTTTACCCTTTTCCTTGATTTTCAAAAATATTTTATGATAATCTTATATATTACTAATGTCAATAATATTACAGTAACTATAATGTGTATAATAAAAATATCACCATCTATATTCATAGGATTAGTAAAAAAAAGTTTTTGATGCAAATTCAAGGAAAGGTGAAATCAGGTAAGGTCCCAAGGTCTACTAATTGACTCCTTTGTGGCTAAGCACTAGCAGAGCCATCTATGTGCAGAGACATTTCACAAAAAAATAAAAAAATGAGCACAGCATTGTCCCGGCGGCATCGGGTTAAAATAAAAGAAACCAGATTTTTCCATCATGAAGTCTCAAGCTGCATCCATACTAACAGCTAGAAAGTGCAGGCATATAGGGCAGGAAGTAAGCTAAAGTCTTTTTCTAACCTCACTGCACAAACTTTCTTATGAGTAAATTGAATTTTCATGATTCATTAACCATTTGAATAGTAAGGTTCGAGTGAAAAAGGTTACAAAACTTCTGACGTAAGCCCACCGTTCCCAATTCACCGCAAGTCTGTGCTACATTTTCTTTTACTCTTTTCTTTGATTTTTTCAACCCCCATCTACTTTCTTTTTATTTGTCTAATTTAAAAAATAAAATCACCATTTCACTTTGGAATCTGGTATCGAACAGGTAAGCTAGGCAGCATGCATGAAACACTGGAAAAAAACAAAGCATCTGGTGGAAGGAATAAACAAATAAAAAGTAACTGTTACTGAAATAATAAACAATTTTCTGTCACATTTAGCTCTTACTCAAAAAAAATTTCTGAGAAAACCCTTTAAAATCTCACTCTCAATGTTTGCCAAGAGTTTTGTCCCAACATATACATCTTTCAAATATAAATATACATAAAAAATAAACTCTTGTACATATCGACTTTATCAAAATGATGAGTGTGCCAAATTTCACAAGTGCCACTATACCTGTCAACAAAAATGTATATATTAATAAAAAGTTAAGTTTTCCACACGATTGCAAAGTACTTGGGTGCATCATTTCAGGGTGCCTAAGTATCAAATAAGCAAAGATAAGTTGGTTCAGAAGCTGCTTTGTGACAAAATTAGTATTATCTAAGAAGGCAGCTAATTAATTTTTTTCTTATTTTTTTCAAAAGTTTTGGTCAAATCATTAATCTGACTAAAAATTAAGCCTTTAAACAT